GTGGGGAAAAGAGAGGAAGGCGTGAGACTCAGAATGCACCTGGGCCTTGATGGAACTTCGCTCGGCAGATGGAATATTCTAGATGTTCCTTTATTACCGTTCGTTCTATGTGTAGGGGTTTCTGTCTTTGAGCTTAAAGAAGCAGAATAGCTTCTGAAGCAATTAAATGAAATTCTGAATATAACAATATACCTCAGTCTCTGACTTACTCCTAGAAAACCTAGTACCCAAATTGCCTTACATTTTATGACCTGATGATCCTGGCCCACCCCCAAGGGTTGACGGGAGAGTTCTTGGGAATGAGCTCCTGAAAGCAGTGGTCCGTGAGCTCGCAGAGAGAACGGTGAGGGACCCAGGACCTCCCGGAAGACGGTTCCACTCCTCTGCTCTCCCTTCCCAACACAGGTGATTATGGTGACGGGGGATCATCCCATCACAGCCAAGGCCATTGCCAAGGGTGTGGGCATCATCTCAGAAGGTAATGAGACCGAAGAGGACATTGCTGACCGGCTCAAGATCCCTGTCGACCAGGTCAATAGCAGGTGAGACCCCTGAAGAACTCAGATCTGCCACGTCTTCCCCTCTCATCAGCCTGCCCCACCCAGATCCCACTCACTACCGTTCCTGAAGGGTCCTGCAGCAGGTCGGATGGGCAGGGTTTACATAGTGCAAAGTAAAGTGTAATAGGAAAGCAACCACGTGGGTTTCAGAAGACGTGGAACAAAGATCGAGACAGAGAAAGGGGAGGGATGGTTGGGAAAGGGGGGAGGGGACGGCATGTGTCCGTCTGGGAACAGTGAATGGCTGGGGGCCAGTGAAGAGGCTGGGCTGAAAGGAAAAACAAGGAGGTTATAGTAAAAGTTGGTTAAGGGGCAACTGATGAATTCTCAGCACTCTGAACTGACCTTTTAAAATTCTTTTTGCACCCTGGCCGGTGTGCCTCGGTTGGTTGGAGCGCCGTCCCAAGCACTAAAAGGTTGTGGGTTCGATTCCCAGTTGGGGGCACGTACGGGAACTGATCCATGTTTCTCTCATACACAGATGTCTCTCTCTTTCTCTCCCTTCCCCTCTCTTTAAAATCAGTAATAAATAAATAATCACACAAACCCATATCCTCCAGTGAGGATTAAAAGCAAAACATAATTTAAAAATAAAATAAATTTTTTTTTGCTCAGGGATGCCAAAGCCATTGTGGTGCACGGCTCAAAACTAAAGGATCTGAACTCAGAACAGCTTGACTATATCCTCCAAAACCACACGGAGATTGTGTTTGCTCGGACCTCCCCGCAGCAGAAGCTCATCATTGTAGAGGGATGTCAGAGGCTGGTAAGGAGACAGAGGAGCCGGGGGATCTGCAGACATCGCGTGGCATGGCCCACGACACCAAGCAGAGCAATGCCTGCGGGGCCCACGGACACGCCAGAGTATCCCATCTTGAACCTTGGAGATGGGCAGCAGTTTGCGGGCTCCCTGCGAGGGTTTTTCCCCTGAGAGTTTCAATATGTTAGGAGGAACAGGAGAAGGAAGGGCGAAGAGGCCTGCCTCAAGCATGATTATATCAAGAAACGGGGGATGATGAAATCAAACTGATTTGGGGAACTGGTCTTGAATCTGACAGTAATTCTTTCGCTCCCTCTGTGCTTCTCCCAGGGAGCCATCGTGGCGGTGACGGGCGACGGGGTGAACGACTCCCCGGCGCTGAAGAAGGCGGACATCGGCATCGCCATGGGCATCTCGGGCTCCGACGTCTCTAAGCAGGCAGCCGACATGATCCTGCTGGACGACAACTTCGCCTCCATCGTCAC